CCAACAATTTAAACAGATTTACCCCAATGGTAAGCTGGCATGTTTAAAACTAAAACTGATCTGAAGTTGAGTCCAAAAATAACTGAATGCTGTGGTAGATGCTTGTTTGGGTTTCTGGGTTTGTTTGTTTTTTAAGTAATTATGTAGAATTTATTCTTTTCAATCAATAATAAGTGATTTCTTACCTATGAATTAGAATCTCAGAAAACTGAAATTATCTTCCTGAAGGTAGGAAAAAATAGGAAACATTATTTAGCTCTAGAAATAGTCCTTGTAATGTTTTAGAGAACAAACTGAGATGAAAACAGCCCCAGTCATCCACTTCAGTCGGCAGGATGCCACACAGATGTACCTGGAAAATCTGGGAGTAGCTGAGATTCTTCTTAACTGTACACCAGCTGGGTACAGGCCCCACAGAGGAAGGGCCTCTCCGTCAGAGGCTCTGATAGGCGACAGCTTAAATAATGACCAAAGGCATTTTAAAATATTGCATATTGCCCTTTCAATACATTGTTAGATAGCACCTCTTTTCTAGTTATTAAGAATAACATATCAAAAGCTCATCTAGCCAGGCTTGGTGGCTCACCCCTGTACTCCTAGCATTTACGGAGGTGAGGTGGGAGGCCAACAGTTCGAGATGAGCCTGAGCAGCATAGTGAGACCCCCATCTCTACAAAATATAGAAAATTAGCCAGTCACGGTGGCACCTGCCTATAGTTTCAGCTATTCAGGAGGCTGAGACAGGACTACTTGAGCCTGGAGAAATCTGTGGCTGCAGTGAGCTGTGATTATGCCACTGACCACTACCCAGGGCAACAGAGTGAAATTCTGTCTTTAAAAAAAAAAAAAGAAAAGAAAGAAAAGGGAAAAAATTCTCTTTATTAAAATCTAAAAGATCAGAATTCGTAACTCTGTGGAATGAATTACTAAGTAAAGAAGTATCTTTTCTTAAAGGAAAGGAATATTTTGCCACCATTTATCGTGGTGATCCTATGTCTCAGTTTTGTCTGGCTTTAAAAATATGACATTTATGAGCCTCTTCTCTTTCCAGTAGGAAAACAGAAAAACGTACCGGTCAGGTGGGATGAATACCACTCATTGCCAGGCACATGTCACACCGGCATTTACCCCGTCTGAGCCCTGGTGTGTGCATCAGACACAGAGGCAAAGAGTCGGCTCGACTGGTTTGGCTGTTGCTTATAGTTTTACATTTCCATGGTTCTCCCTTACACACAAAGCAGTGTGTAGAAAATTTACATCCAACGTATAAGCAGATTTAGGGGGAAAGAAATAAAAAGTTATTAAAATCTGTTAAATCTTAGAAAGCAAATATTTTAAACAAATATTTTCAAAAGAGATGCTAAACTTCTTTTATTATCTAGAATTTAAGTCTCAAAATAGAAAGACATGATGATGGGTGAGAACACAAGGCTGAAATGCCCTTTATAGAATGACAGATGACTTGCAATTTTTAAATCATTTCATGAATACTGCTTATTTTGAAGGGTTCATCTCCTATCTTCTATAATTAGAATCATTGATTTCAATGTAGTTTTTCCTCCTGCTCTATAACCTTGACAGATAAAAACACTCAAAGAGTAAAAACATCTCATTCAGAATTCATCACAGAGGGATTTTTGTTTTTCCCTCAAAATATGTCACCAGATTGACACACAATTGCTACCTCATTCTCTACTTACCTTCTAACTTCTAGTTAAGTAAAATAGTTTTAGGAGAATGGGAAAGGATTTGTCATGTGAGCTGTGAAATCTTGCTATTTTGTAAGGATGAGGTTGCGTCTGCAGCTCTGATTTTTTGCCAAGAATTATGACTTTTTGCCACCTCACAAAATCCAAATGCAATTGACCCACTTGCAAAGTACCCCAAGGCTTGTAACCATAATACACCACCACAACGAGAGACAAACTCTGAGTGCAGAAACAGCCCAGGAACGAGTGACGGTGTGCACAGATAAACTAAGGTCAGAGCTTCCATGGCACCACCCATCGGAGGAGACACCACGTGGACAGTAAACATTGTGGGCATTCGTGAATCAACTGCTAAGTTAAATTATCATATAACTGCTAAGTATAAGTGAAACCTACTCATGGTTTTACATTAGGGTAAATAAAGTCACAGCCCCAGACCCCTTGTGAGCTGCCTACAGTGTCCCTGGGGCACTGTCTCTCCCAACAGGCTGTACAGAGACTGGTTTTAGGAGGACAATGACAAGCCAAGTCCCTGAGTCCAGCCAGTGGCTGTCAGTGGGGGGAAACCTGCGGGCTGTTGTGCCATGTGGACAAATGATGCCAGTTTTATCACTGAGAAGTAATGAGCAGAGTTTCTGGCCTGTAGTGCCACTTCTGTTTTGCATAAAATTTGATTGATTTCTCACACATCATCTGATATAAACTTTTTTGGAGGTTCATGTCTATCTAAAAATTATCACTACAGGGCGGTGCCTGTGGCTCAAAGGAGTAGGGTGCTGGCCCCAGATACTGGAGGTGGCAAGTTCAAACCCGGCCCTGGTCAAAAACTGCAAAAAAAAAAAATTATCACTATATTCTCAGATGCAGTCAGGAACCTATTTTTGTGCTTATCCTTAAAAGTATTAAATATGTATTTAAAATTAGAATACATGCATTTGTGTGTTAACTTCAATCCTTAAGAACTGATATACATTACAGATTCTTCTTTTTTTGCAGTTTTTGGCCAGGGCTGGGTTTGAATCCACCACCTCCAGCATATGGGGCCAGCGCCTCACTCCTTTGAGCCACAGGTGCCGCCCTATGTTACAGATTCTTAAAACCATGAACATGTCAAGGCTTTACCAAAATTGCTGAGAAAGCAGAGAAACAAATTTTTAGAGAAAATAATAACAATGGACTTAAGAATCAAATGAAAATTTCTCTGCAGTCACTTTATAACACAGCAGAACCCCCATAGCTGACCAGCTCCTGACACTGACCAGTTCAAGCTGACCTAATTTTCACAAAGCAGACAGGCACTACATGTACGTCTCGGGGGAGCAGGCCTGGCCCCTCTTGCTGACACCTCCACATGTTGGCCACTTTGTTCTAGTCCCTCGGGTGGTCAACTTGGCAAGGTTCCACCGTAAATTCTTTCTACATTCTGCTAATTTTCTCTATGGCTGTTAAAGGTTTTTTTTGTTTGTTTGTTTGTTTTTAATTTGTCTTTGTTTTAAATTCTAAGCTTCGCACTCAAAAAGGTATTTCTATAACACAACAGTCTGACCATCCTAACTAGTGTCATTTACAAGAACGGAAGTAAGTTTATAGCCCATTTCAAGTAAGAGGGCATTGGGGAGACAGCATCGTGTGGATGTATGTGTGAGTGTGCTCTGTGATGGGAACAATAATGATGTAATGAATTCTAGTTGCCTTGGAAACAGCGTGACGGAAGCAGACTGTGTGTCCCTAGTAGGATGCAGACCTATTTAGAAACATAACAGTATGGTACTAAGTATATTTCCCAGTAAGAAATTCAAGATAATTTTGCCCGTGGAAAGCCTGGTTTATTCATAGATCCTGAGCTTTTCTGACCAACTCTATTTATGTTTTGCTGAAAGGAAGGAAACCATTTACATTCACTTAGCATGCTTCCATCCATTCATGGACATCTGTGGACCTACCCTGGGCCACCCGGGGCCTCTGGACACAGGCAGAGCTGCAAGGAATCACTGGGTCCCCCTGGAAGGTAAGGACCTGTGATGGGACTGAGGGCACTAGAAAGGGCAAGGGACGTTCCACAGGTTTGGGAAGTAAGTCCAACAAGAAGAACTTTCTTAAAAAGCAAACCCAAAGTGTAGGAACAAACCCCAAAAAATAAACAGGTAGAAATATTTTTTTTGAGGATTCAAGGGAGGGCATAAAAGACGGAATGATACATTTAAAAAAATATGTTGAAACTATAATGTGCTTTCCTTAAAATATTGTTTGTAGAAATAATTGTTCTAGTTTTATATTTTTAAGTAAAAATCTTAAGTTGAAATACAGTATTAAACATTTAATAGAACTAGTTTTCTATACTTACAGTTTAATTTTGTAGGGCTAAAAGAATTATTTAAGTATTTGGGAAGTTTTATCACTCAGACTATTAAAGTCCATTAAAACAAAAATGACTGTCTTTAACTTATAAATGAGATTTTATTGTTAATGGCATATAATTCATTAAGTTTTTTTAAATGGAACCAAACTTAATCAATGGCTTTCTAAAAGTGTTGGAATTTGCTAGCATATAAATGTAATAACAAGAGTTGTGACCAGAAATAAAATTTTTTTAAAATATGATTTTTGAATGTATGACTTAAATTATAAATTAATTGTTAAATAAAAAAATACTGTTTGTAATCACAGTAATGTGCAGCTTTGTTAAAGATAAGCTGAGATGACATCTGAAGGTGAAGTGACTTTTGGAGGGCATTGCTGGTCCTGCCAGCTGGGCTGGGCTGGCGTGGGGTGTGCACACTCCAGAGCCTGCAGCTCACGGCCTGGCCAGCGCTCCTGTCCGCCCAGCCCTGGCGGTTGGCAGAACACGCTGGCCAGAGCCAGCACAAGGCCAGATATGCTGCCTCGGCTTCCTGCTTCCCACACAACTTCCTCTTCCCCAGGGACTGGGACCAGCGAGAGGGTGGACAGCAGAGAGGTCGGCCCACTCCAGTGCCAGATCATCACCTCGGTATCTCAGCTGCTCAAGATATACTGAAACATTGGGGAAAATGCTCGTGTGTGTCAAGTGCAGACCTCACGCCCCCGAGTTTCACTCATTCCAGGATCCATAGCCCTCTACTCTCCTTGCAGGAAAGGATACGAGATTTTGGCTTCCCAGCATCTGCACTGACTTTGGGTTTTAGATGAAGCCCAGTGACCCACACTAGGAAATATTTCAGATCACGATCCCGAAGCCCACACGACTCCCACACAACGTAATGGTGAAGCAAGGGAGCTGTGGGCGCCTGGCGGGGCAGCGGCGGGACCTACCCGGTCGCTCCCGCTCTTGGAACGGTCGTTCTTGGCCTTGGCAGTCTTTTCCGCAAGCTTCTTCTGCCTTTGAGGGCCTCTTCCAAAGAAGATGTAGTTGACAAAGGCGTACTCCAGAAGGGCCAGGAACACGAAAACGAAGCAGCCCATCAGATACATGTCGATGGCTTTGACGTAGGGGATCTTGGGCAGGGTCTCCCGGAGATGGGTGTTGATGGTGGTCATCGTCAGGACGGTGGTGATCCCTGGGGAAGAAACGCAGTGGTGAGAGGCGGGGGCTGCACCAGCCACTCAGCGGTCAGAGGCCGTAGCTCCACCACGCCACTCAGTGGTCAGAGGCAGGGGCTGGCACCACTCCATGCAGCAGTGAGAGCCTGGGGCTCCCCCGTGCCACTCAGCGGTCAGAGGCGGGGGCTCCACCATGCCACTCAGTGGTGAGAGGCGGGGGCTGCATCACGCCACTCTGCTTTTTTCACCTCTCTTTTGTAATTTCTCAAACTGCCTGAAGTAGTCGGAGCGACAGGTTGACTACTAACTGAGCAAGGAGCGTGTCACATCCAGGCCAAGAAGCTGAGCCTGTGCCCCGGGCCTTGAGGACACAGGGCACTTTGTGGCACCTCGCTAACACAGAGGATGGAATTTTCGGAGTGGACGGACAGATATGCAGGACAGAAAGGAAGGAGCGCTCTGTGTGAACACTGGGAGAAACGAAAACACGCCCAGAATTTCACACAAAGCCCTAAGCGTGTGGATGAGATTCTCCAGGAACAGGAATGATTTCAGAGCAGCAGCGGAGGCTGCACAGGGGGACAAGCCTGCAAGTTAGAACCGGGAGGTGGGGGGATAGCCTGGCAAGAAAAAGCAGTTCCCAGCATGAGGCTCGTGGGAAACAGGGGGGATGAGGCAATGATTTTTAAAATTATTAACAATTTGCTCCGGTCCTGGGCTTGAAGACAAATGAATAGTTGATGAAGCTTCTGAGGGCAAATGACTTTATACAGCAATTTTCCTCAGCTAAGAAATAGTCTACACCTCTGTATAAAGCTGCTTAAGAAATGTTTGCTCAAGTCAAGGGTTCATGATTTTACCCATTACAAAGAATCTCACCATACTCTGGGGTAACTGACCAAATGCCCTTTTTTTTTTTGTTATTAGGTTGAATTTTTTACATAGTATTTTGTGAATGATCTCACTCTTTCGACCAGTGAGATATGATTGAGTCTAAAGCCATGTAAGGACACCCACACAAGAGAAAAATACAATTAAATTCAAGTGGGAGGGACAGGGCCTGGTGAGTTCTCACTTAACAGGCACAATGTAGGGGTACATGGCACACCTCCTGGGTGAGGGGCTCAGCTACAACTTGGACTCTACCTAACTAATGAAGACCATGTAACATAATCATCTGTACCCTCATATTCACCTGAAATTTAAAAAAAGATAAATTTTCATCAATAAATAAATAAAGCCACCTAAGGGCTGTATTTCTCAATTCTCCCTCTCCTGGCAATTGACAGTTCTTATTCTACAAAGATTCCGTACTGAATCATTTGAAGCTACAGTGACCAGGGACCTCTTAGTGACACCAGCAGAATGTGTTGAATTAAGCCACACTTGCAGGAGTGACACAGACCACTGCTCACATGTGGGCAGGACGGCAACTCTGCAGCTGGCCTGCCGTACTTCTGAAATACTAAGAAGACTCAAGGCAGCAATGCAGCCTCACGGGGTCAGCTCTTTTCTACCCATGCAACTAATGCTACTGAGTGGTGCTTGGTGTGTCTTTCCGGACACTTCTGGGGAGCACCTTCCTCTGCACTGGGACGGCGGGCCTGCCCTCGAAAAGGAGACTTTCAGAGCAGAGAGCCTAAACTAGTCCTTCACCTCCAGTAATCCAAAAAACAAATGACGCAGGTAGGAGGCTAGGAGACAGTACAAGCCCAAGAAGCCAGCAGTGCCAGGACGCAGCCCTGGGACACAGCTCAGGCTGGTCAATCGGGTTTGTTCAGCACCCTTGTCTGATCCAGTCTGGATTCCTAACCTCGCAGGAAGTATCCTCCCCTTCTGTGGCCCACAGAGAGGACGTCAGCCCTGCAGAGCTCCCCCGGGGCCAGATGGCACCGTGCCTCATCTCCAACAGGGGTTCTTCCCGCACCGACCTCTGACTGCTGCTGAGGGCAGAGAGGGGAGCTGGTGGGCCCAGAACCTGCAAACCACAGTGCTGACGGACATAGGACCATCCAGGAGGTCAGAGTATTTTAAGATTCTCCTTGAACATCACATTCGTGTGCACCTGGGGACTGTTTAAATTCGAAAATGGCATCGGGATAAGGGCAGTTTACAAACCAATGTGAAAACACCGCTCAAATGCTACAAAATTAGGCATCCTCGCCACCATTCCAAAAATGTCGCAATGCTGCTCACACTCCCTTTGTATCCCCTGAATGTTCTGCTGGGGCTTTTTTTTGTCTGTCCAGCCGGCCTTGGTGGTGTCCCAGGAAGTGGGCTGCAAGCACACAGGGGCAGGGGCAGCCACACATCTCACGGGCACTCAGAGAGAACCAGGCGGGACCCTGGGCACAGGCTTGGAGTCCCTTAATGGTGAGAGTTGGCCGTGAGTGAGAGCTGGCCGTGAGTGAGAGCTGGCCATGAGTGAGAGCCCCCATCTTCCTAGTCTGGGCTCGCACAAGGGCCTGTGAATTTACTAATTCCTTCTGTCACTGGTGTCATATGGTGTCGGCCCACACCCTGGGTAGTAGTGCCACACAGGCCTGGCCCCAAGTCACCTCTGTCTTGACCGGCTCAGGCCATTGCCTGAGGTGCTGGGAAGTCTAAGGACAATGCTATGAAACCTTGGTGATGTGCCAGGAAGTGGCACCTGACATTATTAACACTGGCAGTGAATGCTCACATATTACCATTGTTACAGAAAAATAATCTTCAATAGCCTCGAGTTTTCCTGGCCTCTAAAGGGACATCACCCACCCAACTGCAGCAGAGAGACAGCTAGGGTGGCGTTCATGCTCTTGGTACATTTACCAGGCTGGTAGTCTGTCCACAAACCATTAAACTCAATTCATTTTTCCTGAGCATTATGTGAATGAAATATTGCATTTGGCAAACTGCAATAAAGTTGACTATGAAATAAAAATATAATTTATTTGCACCATTTAATCAGAACATTTTATCTTACCTCCTTATGGTCAAAATAATCTGGCCTACATTATATCAGTAACATTTTCACTTTCAGAAGTTCCAATACTAGTACAGGCTGAGCATCCCTAATCCGAAAATCCAAAGTCCAAAATGCTCCAAAATCTGAAACTCTTAAGATGCTGAAAGGATTCATTGGAGCATCTCATGTTTCAGATTATGGATGCCCAACCTGTAAGTATAAAGCAAATATTCCTTGGATTCACAAGCTTGAGACCAGTCTCAGCAAGGGCAAGACCCCATCTCTACTAAAAATAGAAAAATTAGCCACAAGCTGTGGTAGGCACCTGTAGTACCAGCTACTGGGGAGGGATGCTGAGGAAAATGGATCCCTCGAGTTTGCTGTGAGCTAATGAGGCCACGGCACTCAACCCGGGGTGGCAGAGTGAGACTCTGTCTCAATGAACAAACAAACAAAAATACCCAAATATTCCAAAATTTAAAATGAATCTGAAATTCCAAATACTTTTGCCCCAAGCATTTTGGATAAAAGATACTTAATCTGTACTCCCTGATGACTGGCATCAGGGCTCTGAGGAAAGTGCTCAGTTAAAACTTCCTTCTTTGAAGTCTCAGGCTGCTGACAGTTAACAGTTCAAGATTTCTGGGGGTCATACCCGGGGCAGCAGAAGCAAAATTCAGAGACACACCAGGCAGCCAGCAGCTGTTGGGGGAGCCAGCAGGGCAGGAGAAGCGTCCAGGTATCACCCTGGGTATCACCTGGCCCAGCGTCCAAGCAAGAGCACCCCACAGGGTCTGCACTGAGCAATCATCTAGAAATGATGAATCATCATCTAGAAATGATGAATCATCCCACCCCAGCACAGACCTGTGGGATGAAGGCCAAGGGTGCTCTGAGCACTTCAGAAGGTGCAGTATGAGACAAGAGTCTTGGGAGGGCCTGGAGGGAGGCTTCTCTGAGGAAAGCCCTCCACACACAGGCATTTCCGCTTATTGAGTCAAAGAACAAAGCAGTCTCTTAAAGGTTCTGAGGGATCCGTCAATCAAAATAATTCATTAGAAACAGTGCAGAGTTTGCAGGGTGGACAGAGGGCACGAGTGTGCAGGGGGACAGAGGGCACGAGTGTGCGGGGTGGACAGAGGGCACGAGTGTG